ACCCATCCATCCATCCATCCACCCATCCATCCACACCCACCCATCCATCCATCCATCCACCCATCCATCCACCCATCCACCCATCCATCCACACCCACCCATCCAACCATCCATCCACCCATCCATCCATCCATCCATCCACCCATCCATCCACACCCATCCATCCATCCATCCATCCATCCACACCCACCCATCCATCCATCCATCCACCCATCCATCCATCCATCCACCCACCCATCCATCCATCCACCCACCCACCCATCCATCCATCCATCCATCCACACCCATCCATCCACCCATCCATCCACACCCATCCATCCATCCATCCACTCTTCTTCTTTTTTGCAGTATGTATGTATATTTCAATTATTGGTTTCTTGTACCATTCTTTTTGAAAACTTCAAATAGTCCTAGTAGGGTAACAAAACTGTCTAATACTTTAGTACTTTTTTTCCAGATAGGCAATATTGGGAAAACACTGGGAAACCTTAAGGTAAAAAAGAGACCAAATTCTAAGAAGGAGAATAGGGAGCCCAAAGATGAAAAATGATGAAAAATATTTCTTCCCACCTTATTTTGTTTAGGTTTGGCACTGCCAATCATATGTTTCGAATGATGCGTAAAATTGTTTTTATTTTATAAAAAGACTCTCTCTTGAAGACAGTTGTTTCTCTTTTGTAGAGCTTTAAAAAGGTCTAGATTTAGGGCGCCTGGGTGGCTGAGTCGTTAAGCATCTGCCTTCGGCTCAGGTCATGATCCCAGGGTCCTGGGATCGAGTCCCACATCGGGCTCCCTGCTCGGCAGGAAGTCTGCTTCTCCTTCTCCCACTCCCCCTGCTTGTGTTCCTGCTCTTGCTGTCTCTCTCTCTCTGTCAAATAAATAAATAAAATCTAAAAAAAAAAAAAAGGTCTAGATTTAATGAGCAATTGTGTCTTAAGACATTCCAATGAAAGAAAGGAGAGTAAATATCTAAATTATTATACAGATATATTAAATAGGAGAAAAAAATTCCTCTTTAACAAGATACATTCTTACGGCTGTATCTGAAACTTTTTAAGGCACTTTGGTGCCATTAAAATATTTTACAAAATTACTTTAAAGGAAACTTCAATTTACACTTTACTCTTCTTCCACCAGCAAGGTTTTAAGAAAAATAAGCATTCCTCTTATTTACCAATTTTAAAAGTAAAGAACACTACTCTAGCAATGTTATAGAATGAATTAGTAGAAGTCCTTTACTTTATTAGGGGAAGTTAAGCACAGAGACAATAAATATAATGAATTTATTTAAACACTTTGGTAACAAGTGTATTAAAACTACTTAATCATAATATACATATATGTCATACAATTAATATGGTTTAAGATTCATTACTTTTTTTTATAAAAGTGCTACATTTGCTGAAAGATTACATCCCCAGAAACTAAAAGAAATAATTTACTTATGCTTATATCTGCAGAAAATTTTTTTTGTTACCTGGCAGAATAATGTTATTGACTAGCTAATACAAACCATATATCAAATATTATCTCTCTGCTTCATCATTTCAGTACCAAATGCTAATCTTGTATTAAACTACTAGAAAAATTAAAGCTAAATAAAATTGATTCCATTTAGTTTCTGCATAAAAAGTTAACGAATAATTTTTAACTTTGTTAGACATGCTTAGGAAAAATGTGTTAGGAAGCATTCATCTGTTTACTGAAGTATTAAAAAAGAAATAGTACAAAATTACTTTTTAAAAAAAAACCCAAACTTCATAAAACCAGTGTTTTTAGTTAATATACTATTTATTATGCAATAGCCTTTTTGGATAAGCCAAAATCACTGTGTAGCTGGCATAAAGAAACATGAAAATCAGAGTGTTTTTTATTGTTTATTATAACTGACTGTTAAGTCAGAGTGTTTATTATTTAATCTCATCTTAAAAGATACCTTTAAAACATTATATCCTAAATCAAGTTTAGATATACTGAAAGAAAAAATAAAAATAATTCTCCAAACTGGCTTAGGAATAAAAAGATAATGAGTTTTGGGGCGCCTGGGTGGCTCAGCTGGTTAAGCGTCTGCCTTTGGCTCAGGTCATGACCCAGGGTCCTGGGATCAAGCCCTGCATTAGGCTCCTTGCTCAGCGGGAAACCTGTTTCTCCCTCTCCCACTCCCCCTGCTTGTGTTCCTGAACTCGATCTCTGTCAAATAAATAAATAAAATCTTTAAAAAAAAAAGATAATGAGTTTTGACTGATTGCTTCTCTAGATTTTATTTATTTAGAAAAACAGTCTTTTTACCAAATATAAACGTTCACTTCCATTTACAGGCAGCTCCATGTCAAACCATTTTTAAATTAGACACATTTCCTTCTAAGTATGAGACAATGATTAAACTAAAAGCTGAGGATCAAGAAAATATGCACTCTCTTCTTCAAAACACTAGATATTCATAAGTTTAGTGTAAAGAGGGTATGAAACACATAGATCTTAGTAAGTGCCAGAAAGGTTTGACAGTCACCACCACTTCCCATGTCTTCCTTTCTCTGACAATGAGAACTACGGAGGCTCAGTTCTTGATTGTCTCAACAGAGGGGAAGCTCAGAACCACATTAAGTGCCCAAAGAGGTATCGTCTACCTTCTCTGTGTGATTTTTGAGCTCCTTTTTCATTCACTTTAGGTTATCTGTTTTGTGTTTGTTTTATGTATTTTTTGGGGGGGGTGGTGGTGGAAGGGAGTAGGTAGTATCTACATTAATATAATAATTATCTATTCGATTGAAATTCCAGGAGACAGAAAAATTAAAGCCTAAGTGTTGGGAAATTCCAGTTACTGAGAAATAACAGTGAACAAAGCATTTCTTAAGTTTCTCTGTTATTTGAAAACATTACCATTTAGCCTCCTGCAATTCTGTATCTGCTTCCTCTTCCTCAGTGGAAGTGTTGCTCCCTCTGGGTTTTACTTATGGTGTATCAGCCTTGACTTCCTAAGAATTTATCTTTTATTTGTAAACATATTCCTAATCTACTTTTCAATTTGTGTTTATCTGCCTAAGAAGATGCATGTTATCGGGAGTGCATACTGAATGCCTTTCAAATAATTCTACCAAGAAGATAAACTGATGAGGTATGACAGGGGAAGGTCAGTAGTGGGGGCAGGAAATATTTTTAGGTAATATTTTATGAACTATGATATAAAAAGGCTAGGATAACATAGTTGAATTCTATTGTTTATTATTTGTTTAAAGTATTTTTATGGTAATATTCTTCTCAAGGAGAAAAGGCAATCAACCTATGCAGCATTTAAGTCCACACTATTTTATAAGCAACTTACTGATTAAAGCTAGCACAGAGTTAAAAGATTGTGAATGAGAATTTACTTGAATGTAAAAATGGTCAAAGCAGTATGTGTGTACCATCCTGGCAGATAATACAGAGTATTCTTATGCTTAAGTGATCAGCTGATCAAGGAGGTTTCACTGTTCCTTAGAGAGAAAGATCAGATAGCACTGGACAAAAAACTGGTTTCCTTCTAAGGGAGAATCCAAGCTCTTAGGCATTTCTCAATAAATACTAGATTAAATCATCCCTAGCTTTCATTTGCTAATGTTTTATTCTGATCTTATTTGTTTATGATAAATTTGTAAGTTAAACATAAATTTACCAATGAAAAGTTTTTTCTCCCTCTTGTGTTTTTTCTCATCCTAATTTTGACAAATCTCCTCACAAGTATCTAGAAATGTTTGATTTTTTAAAAGAAGTAAATATTGTACTGCTAATCATCTATGACTGTGTTCACAAGAAAGAAGGGGAATCCCTAGATGCCGGCCATGAAGAGGGTGCAGAAAACCAGTGAGGTAGGCATATGACCTACGCTGTAGCTGCACAAAGGGAGGGCCTTAGCTTAGAAAACAAACACATAAATATTGACCTTGTGAAATCAAATCCCGAGGCTTATGCCTCTTGTAGATTTAGGCCCTGAATTTGCTCTGTCCTCCATGGTATGGGGAAGTGAAAAAATCTGGTCAACGTGGTGCTACTCTGGAACACATGACAGAATCAGAGAAATTTCCACAACCTAGCTGGATCAGGGTTCACATACAGAAAGCCCTTGAGTCTCAAAATTTCTAAATATGTTAACTGGACTCCTCAAACCAAACAGAGGGATTACTTGAAATACTAGAACAACAATCTATAAAAGATTAGTATGTTGTAAAAGATGAAAGACATAAAGGAAGGACAATATCCATAAAACAACACAGCAGTACAGAAAAGATTAGAAAGATATGAAAAAGCAAATAGAACTATATAAATGAAAATAATATAGTAATAAAAAACAGGCTGATTAAACAGAGTAGACACAACTGAAGAGAGAATCCACAAACTAGAAGATACATTTGAGAAAATACTGCAAAAGTCCCAAGCAAACTAAATAAAAATATACCCATGAGTGGCAAATTCCTATTTCCTAACATGAGTGATGGTTATAAGTGTTTGCCTTATAATAACCCCTAATCTGTACATTTATTGTTTTTGCATATGTTTTATTTTAAAATAAAAAGATAAACCAGTCCATAACTAGATATATCTATGATAGCTAAATTAACAATGAATATGCAATCCAAAATAAAAGCATTTTAAGAGAAAGA